CAGCAGTAATACTGTCGGAGAGGTCTGGTGGAGTTGTCTGTGACACACGCGTTTTGGTGAGTGACACACGTCTGTGAGAGAATGTTTGTCACAAATATTGGTATATCAAACCAAGTTATCCTACGTGATACATTTATTAGTAAGAATTTCCAGAAATTTTCAGGAAAAGAAGGCGAAGATGCGACGACATGGCTCACGGATCTAGTGGATCGATTTGATAAATTCAAAATTCTGGAATCACAATGGATTTCCTATGTTCCATCAGTGTTATGTTCAAAAGCTCGTATTTGGTATGGAAAGCATAAATCAAGCTTCACAGATTTTGATGATTCCAGTTCAAAACTTTCTACCGATTTTGATTTAAGCGAGATGGACCGAGTTATTTTCGGCCGTCCCCACCAAGCTCCACAATTTCAACTGAACGTCCAACCGCCACACATTCAGTACATTTCAGCTTGTTAAAGACATTGAACGAACAGGTAGTCAAAAAGTTGAAAACGTTCAGTGGTCGCAATCAGAATGTGGTAACTTGGTTAGATGAATTGGAAATACAATTTAGCGCTCATGGTTGGGGCGAGGAGGTCAGACTGAAATGTGTACCGACCGTCCTACAGGATCATGCACTTAAATGGTATACTCGAGCTGCTACTACTATAAACTCATGGAAAGATTTCGTCACACAAATTAAAGATGAATTTAGTCCAAAATTTAGTCAACAAATAGCATTTGAACGAATGATAAATTATCAACAAGGAATTAATCAGTCTGTTTACGATTTCTGTTGGGGAATGCTAGATATTAGTCGTGAAATTGACCCACAGCCAACAGCTCATAATATTTCGCAACACCTGATTTCAAATGTAAAGCCTTCTCTGAAAATAAAGATTACGGAAAAGATCCAGAAACTTGTGCTGACTTCGTATATCATGCTAAATTTTTTGAACAAGTGGCGCCATTTCAACTACAGGAAGAGGCTGAAGCTATCTATTTGCCGTCTCAGCGATGATGGCCAACACAACAACGACCACAACAGCAGATAAGTTCAGATACTGCTCAGAGTAATCCACCACCAGCCGCTCCACAACAGGCAGTTGCTTCTCAACCTGCAGCTCCAGTCTCCAATGCACACAAACCATCAAGTAATGGGGAAGTATTTGAAAATTCCAATAATCGTGGCTCGTATTCAAACTATTCTGATTGTCATATTTGTGGGTCACTTGAGCACTATGCCCGAAACTGTTGTGAACGACACGGTTTCGAGCAGTGGAGTCATTGATTGATGGTGATGGCTCCGCAGATTTTTGTAACCCATCATTAATTTTCCTTTCCGCTCAAGTCGATAATTGTAAGATGAAAATAATGCTACACACCGGAGCCACAAACACAATTATCACAGAAGATGCCTTGAATAGAACAAGACATCAGAGATTCATCAGCAACCCCCATAAGCACAAGTTAGCAATGGCTGATGGCTCTTCTTATCTTAAAGTAGTTGGTACAGTTGAACTGAGTATAAAAGTTCACAATATGTATACAAAAATCACTGCAGTAGTAGTGAAAACTTTGTTCATAGATTGTATTATTGGGAACCGACTATATAAAGAAGTATTCTTTACACATTGATGCTGGCAGTGAAACTATAACTATTCATAAAGGCCATATGTGTGTGTCTATATCGATGGAAAAACCCAATCAGTCAGTGAAAGTACCTATGAGATTGATACAGTCAGTGAAGATACGTCCCGATGAAGAAGTGAATGTTCAAGTGTCCGCGTGTATTTCAACAGCGAAAGTTGTTTTCAAACCTTCACATAATTTAAAACAACAAGTTCCCATTTTTCTACTGAATTCTATGTTAGAAATCAAGCATCATCAAGCAACGATTCCTGTTTATAATCCGACCAATTATCCACAACTTCTAAGCCGAGGTGTAATTATGGGAGTGTCAACGTTACCAGTTGAAGTGGAACAAGTAGAAAGAAAGGAAACGAAGAAACTGAGCCCAGAGGAACATATTGAACGACTGATAAAACAAATTGATCTCCAACATATATCTTGCGATGGAGACCGAGTTCCTGTCGGCTCCACGCTTAGCGAAGGGAAAACGCAAAAATTCAAGGCAAATTTCGAAAAGTTTTGTTAAATTTCAAACATTTATTTGACACTAGTCAACTGACCGTTGCGACAACTGAGATAGTTCATGCAATCAATACTGGTCCACATTCTCCACCCAGTTCTAGATTCTATCCAATACCTCCACAGAAGAGAGAGCTATGTATAACATTCTCCAAGAATTATTAGCAGCCGGTTTGATTTCAAAGTCCAAATCAGAATATGCCTCATCAGCTTTACTCACACCTAACCCAGATAGTGCTTGGCATCTAGTAGTCGATTATAAACAACTTAATAACGTTACCATTCCTGAATAATATCCTTTACCAAATGTGGAACAAACAATTCAACGTCTAGGCGAGGGATATACATATTTTACAAAAATTGACTTGAAAAGTGAATTTTGGCAGATCCCCATTCGGCCCGATGATCGTCGAAGGACTGCATTTATCACACCATTTGGGTTATACCAGTTCAATGTGTTAGCACAAGGCCTGCGTAACTCGCCTCCTACTTTTCAGCGAGTTATGAATAATATATTGGAACCGTGTCATCACTTTTCACAAGTATACTTGAATGATATTATTATTTTCTCCAAGACAATCGAAGAACACATTACACATGTACACAAGATTTTGGAAAAACTAAGTGCTAATAATTTGAAAATCAATCCTCCAAAATGTTCTCTTGCACGACAACAGATTGATTATCTCGGCCATACCATCACTGCTACATCTATAACGCCGTTGAATGACAAGATCAAAGCAATTCTCAATGTGAAAGAACCTCGTACGCTCAGAGAAGCAAACCGATTTATTGGAGGCGTTTCATGATACAGAAAGTTCATCCCAATGTTTGCCGAAACTGCAGCACCGATACATGCGATCACCAATTTGACGCAGGCAAATAAACACAAATTTGAATGGAAACAACCACAGTTAGTCTCTTTTCGAGCATTGAAGAAACTTCTAACAACAGAACCACTCTTATTGAAATTTCCAGATGATCGTGAACCTTTAAGACTAGAAACTGATGCATCAAAAATTGGACTAGGCTGGGTATTGTTTCAAGAAATCAATGGGCAGAGGTTTAACATATATTATCATTTACAGTAAACAACTAAAGCTGAACAACATTATGATACAATAGAATCTGAAGCATTAGCTATATATAAGTGTTTTGAGCGTATGCGCCCATGTATTCAAAGTAAAAATTACTTCAAAAAAATTACAGCGGAGTTCAATGACTGATATCGGTCGAACGATAGAAACATCACTCTCATCACATGCAGCAACATCTTCAATTTTATCTAGTGGAAGAACAGTGACAATTGACCCAGTGATTTATATTCCAGACACGGAACCCATTTCGCCTCCAGGAGAACAATGTGAAAGTCAAGGAACAGTAGTTACTAGTAGTGCAACTAGGGCAGTAGCTCTACCGACGCCGGTGAGAGACCGAGTTCTTTTCGGCTTCACGGCAGAAACAACAACAACAATGAAACTGACGGAAACGCCGGGCCGAGACCGAATTTTTTTCGGCTCCACGGGAATACCATCTGTCAATCTCTTAGCATTAAGTGAAAACTTGTCAAGTGATTCTCACACCGTTTCAATTTCCCCATCTTTTAAAATCTCTGAACTAACAGTGATGACGCAACGTCCAACCTATACCATCATTGCGGATAGTCATCTTTAGTAGGGGTGTTAATTTAGTTTTATTTTTCATTTATAATAATGGATAAAACTAAATGAATCATTTATACTTAAAAAATAAATATAAATAAATGAAAAAAAAATTTATCTTTATTTTATAAAAGTAAATG